AAGAGGACACGATTAGAAATCAGTGGTTAAGTTGTATTTACAACACTGTTCCAGAACAGTTCAACCCAAATATTCAGATGTGTGCAGCACATTTTATGGAGGACTGTTTCCTGATCCTGGGAGAGTAGCCTACAATGCCGGCGCTTCTGACTCACAGACTGTAAGTACGTTTTTATGTTTAAAGGGTTTGCCACTGACGATTCAAACGCGAGTTTTGAGCAGTGTAGAGTAGCACTTGTTGTTTGTCATTTCTCCGATCACAAATGCAGACATGGTTTTATGTTTACGCGGCGCGATGCAACGTGTAAAAAGACAGTATAAGTCATTATAATCCGTAATTATGTCCCCACTGGATGCAACGAATGCCTCGTTTATAATGGGTTTTAATGTTTTTGTCTCGTTTTTTTTTTAACCTTAACATAAACACATTACATTACACCAAATACACAAAATAATGTTCTTTTTAGCAACATCATATCACCCCACCCCTTTAAAATCCTAATTGAACTATGGCCTAGTCCTGGCTTAAGCTGAGCCCCGTCTGTGAAACCGGGTCTTAATGTTATAAAGTGTTGATGTATAGTAAAATTTTGATGTCTGTGTAGATGGATGACGGTGATCAGAAGTGCTACAGTCTCTGCCAGCAGAACCCGCTATCTGAACCGGACCGAACCGGACTGAACCTGCCATGTGAACCAGGCTGAACCCTACTGAAACTGCCATCTGACCTGGACAGAAAAAAACATAGACCCATGCAGGCATATAGGGAGCAACCATCTCCGTGTGTGTGTGTGCTTTTATGACAACGTCACTTTTTTTTAGTGACTGACTTTTTTTTAATAGCATTGTTTCATAGTATGACATTAAAGGGGAATGTCGCCATTTCACTTCTGAGCCTTTTAATAGACGCTCTTCAGTTCAAATATTAGCCTCGGGCAAAATTATTTGTATTTTTGCTGAATTACTTGTAAGAAACAGAAAGAATATGTAAGGTGCTTAAACGGCATCAGTGACATTAAAGTTTTATTTTAAAGGAGAAAATAAGAGAGTAAAACAGCAAATGATAATAGATTTCACACACCTGGAGAAGTACAGAGATCACCATTGTGCCCTTAAGGACAGGTGCTGCTGGTGAGATTTCGGATAAAAGGTGCTTACAAATCCTTAGTGAGATTGTTCACAAAAACTGCATTGTGTTTCATAAAATGGCCTCAAATATTGAACGGTGGTACTGTGTGTTCACAGGACGTGTTAGTGTTGGGTGTGAATAGGACATAAGGTTAACTGAGGTTTATTATAAGGTCTATTTATAGCATGTGTTGACACTAAAGTCTTTATCTTGAGAAACTAAAAGGAAAAGTGTTAATAAAGGCTCAGAGATGAAGAGAGGTGGAATTCCCCTTTAACCTCATGGCATTCCCCATAAACACACAGGTGCTTTTTAATGTTTGTGTTTTGTCCTCTAGTGTAAAAAAACATGAAACATGGGCTTTTACAGAATCTCATTTTGTAAATGATATTTAATTGTAAGTGTAAGCCGTAAGTGTCACTTGTTGCCTTTAAAAGGAGGCAGATCCATTTCAGTGCCATGGTTTTTATAGTACAGGCTTCTATGTGTTAGACTTTGTTTCTATCGGCTGAAACCATGTTGGGTGCCAGAAGCCAATGTGCCAAAATCATTCTGTTTGTTAACATTTTGGACTGAAATGTAATGTAAAAGCATTGCAAATTTGGGATTTAAAGGTAAGTTATAAAATACACAAGTACATTTTGTCAACATTCGTCAACCAAAACTTATATTTATAGAGTTCAAGTGCCATTAAGAGCATGACACACAAAAGGTATTTTACACTACGTTTATTTCCGTCAGCATGTAACATTTGGTAATGAAGAAAGGATATTTTGTTATTCAAGGTTGTAAGAAGATTGACGCCCCTCACTGTCATTTTAGAAAAATAATTTTCACCAAACTAAGAAACATTCACCCATAGGCAGCACCGTATAAACCACAACTGCATATTACAGGTTAGTTTAGTCCACAGAAGAGGTCAAGCTTTAAAATGTGCAGAAAGACGTGATGTTTTAGTTTCATACGGCCCAAACATTACTAAAATGAATGGAAAAAGACAAAGAGAGAGAGTTTATTGGAAATGAAAGCAATAAAACCTCATTCCAGAAAGCGGCTGACTTCTGTGGTCTTTCTGCATTGCACTGGTCAGCAGAGGGCGATACTACATCACCAGTGTGAGGCCATTAACCAATAGAAAATCAAGAGTTAAACATTTTATTATATACAGGCCTATACACATATATGCAATAAAATACAATAATATATGATATTTCAGTGTATATGGGTGATTCTGTTTGGTTATCATGGAAGTGAGAGGGAATCATTTCTGCCGCCAGAGTAGCAGAAAGACTTTTTGGAGTTTAGAAAATGAATGAATGAATGAACTAACGAAGGAACGACTGTATTTAAAAAAAATATCTAAATAGCTTAATAAGAATAATAATAATCAAGAATAATGTTTTGAATGTCACATTTCTTCCATCTTTATTTGACCCTCTAACTCTAGCACTCTCTATTCTAATTCTATTCTTTAAAAAAAAGAAAAAGAAAACTTGCCCCTTTTAGACTTGCACTCTATTCATTTACTAACTGCTTGTTTTTTTTTTTTTAAACACTAGCTTCTCTATTCTTTTTGTATTCTATATAGGCAATTTGTTTTCTTTTTATTTATTATACAATTAACAAAAAACAAAAAGCAAAAAAAAAGGCCTCTAACAATAGCTTGCTCTATTCTTTTTCTATTCTATCTGTTTTCTATTTTATTTATTATATAATTAAAAAACACTAGCTTCTCTATTCTTTTTGTATTCTATCTAGGCTCTATTACATTAAAAATATAAAAAATTATACAGAAATAAAACATATCAAATTAAAATATTGATTGATTGATATTTGAGAGATGTTTTTAACACCATTAGCAAACCACTCAGCAGCCTGTTTATAGTGAATTTGAATTCAGAAACAATCCATTATTTTTTTTTCTTCTAAAAAGGTAAGATATTTATAAAAGGATCAAATAAATAAATAAATTAGGTAGTTTGAGGGTAGTTAGAATTAAGGTAGTCACACTTCAGTGCGTCCTGTTTACACTTGCCACCTGCTGCTCTTACTAGAGAGGATTTCCTTACATTCTCTTGTAGCGGTTAAAGCGGAGCTCTAATGAGATTTCACACACAGGTATGGCCCTCCCGCGGAGATTTACCCCATTATATTACTGCTGGCCCCTCAGAACACACCACAGACTGATGCTCCTTTGATAAGAGATAGTGAAACCATAAATACGGTTACATTTCTGAAAGTCATTTGACTTGTGAAATTACGTAAATCATGTACTTTGTAGTATGTAGGCTATATGTATTTAATTAAATACCAGTCGCGAATTAACGATTCCTACTATGGCGAACTCTTAGCTCATTAATATGAATAGAATTACCCGCACGTTGCGTGAAGGCCGGTTCATGAATAATGAATAAGTTTCTTGGAACCTTCCCGTGGCTACTGGTGGATTTCGGCTTTGCTCATGAATATTAAGCAGTAAGACTTGGTCGTAGTAGAGCTCGTAAAGTCGCTATCTGGACGGGGAGGGAGTAGAGACGCGACGGGATTAAACCTCCCACAAACACACTGACATGAGACCATGACAGCACGGGAAAGCGTTTCATTTAGACCGCCAACACTTTCTGGAGACTTTAAAGCACTGGAAACATGGACTAAAGCATCCATCGCGTTCATCTGAACATGAGAGTTAACGGCGGGACAAGCGGAAGGGCTTTTAGGAAGGATTTTTATATCACAGGCGCTCGCAAAGGTAGTCGGGACAGCGGAGAAAACAGACTTTGAATGTTTTTAATTGATTTATTTACACGTCTACTGGAAATTAATGAAAGTTTGTAGCTAGACATGTCAGTCCCGAGCCATGTGGAGACGCGTAAGTTCACCCGGGGGCTCCGTAAACCGGGCACGGCGGCGGAGCTGCGGCAGAGCGTGTCGGAGGCGGTCAGGACGTCGGTTTTAGTGGTGAGTAAATTATGCCCGTTTGTGATGTGGTGTAGCGGTTAAGAATTAGAACGTATTACTGCAGGTTGCGGGTTCGAACCTCAGTCATAGGCGAGCTCGAGGTAAGATGCTTAACCTCAGTTTACTGCAAGACACTGACCAAGTGAAACTTTGTATAAAAATCAGGTAAAGGTTGATTCATCTGTATGCTATTGTAACTTGTTGGTTTTATGTCATTTTTGTGTCACATCCCTCAGACCTAATGTAGATAAATAGTCTCAGAGTCAAATCAGGCTTCAGGTGGTTGATTGTTTAGCCTAATATTATACATTTTTTCGTATTAATTAATGCCATGGTTCCCAACCCTGGTCCTGGAGGCACCCCAACACTGCACGTTTTGCATGTCTCCTTAATCAAACACACCTGATTCAGGTCATCAGCTCATCAGCTCATTAGTAGAGACTTCAAGACTTGAAATTGGTGTGTCAGAGAAAGGAGACATGCAAAACGTGCAGTGTTGGGGTGCCTCCAGGACCAGGGTTGGGAACCACTGAATTAATGGACAGTTCATAGACTACACAAGTATTTTTGTAGGAAGAAGCAATATGTGCTTTGTTGTGTGTGTAATGTTGTCCTGAATGATGGATCCAACTTTCCTTGCCCATTGTTTGGATACAGAAATCAAGCGTAGTGTCAGTTCTGGCAGGTCACGTTAGTCAAGCTTAGTTGACTCTCAGCTGATCCACGTCTACCTATAGGGATGTGACATCTATCACAGCACCCATATATAAGATCCTTCAGTATTATCACCAGCTTTTGCATTGCTCAATAGCAAACGACCCTCCTACATCCCCAGCTCCTCCTCTTGTTCAGTCAGGATTCGGCCTTCTGATTCTACTTTGATATATATATACAATACATTTATGTTGGTTCTGTTCTGTTACCCCAGGGGGTTTATTGCTGCTCTCCCTGCTCTCATCCATGCTAGGCTGCATGGATGCACAGGGAGTTCTTGCCCAGAACAGAACCATACTGTCAATCCAAACTTTATGCTAATTGTCAGTCATCTTTGATGTTAGTGGCCCTGACAGAAATGGACTTCATCCAATTTGTTGACAGGGAAAGAGAGTCAGAAACGCACATAGTCGCCTTGGTGTGATTTATTATTTCTGTACTAGAGAGGCAGTGTATTTCTGGAAGACTGTTTGAGTGAACATCTCTCCCTCACAATCCAAACAGTGTGATTTAGTGGTGAATGATCTGGATTGTAATTAAAGGCGTTTGGTTTAAATCCCACAAGGGCTGAGCCATGAACTGTCACCTGTATGCCCTTGAGTAAGACTCTTAACCTCACGGGACTGACCCTGTGCTGTAAGTCGCTTTGGATAAAAGCCTTAATTAATAAATGACTACTTAATTACTCGGCATTCTTGCACATTTCAGGTGTTCCCTTTGGACGTTTTTCAAAAGGAAGTGATTTGAGTCCAGACTTGTGTGAATGAGTCATTTGAAACTCAGGTTTTGTTGTATAAAACCACAAGCTGTTTAAAGCTGTGTGCCGAATAGCATACTAGCATACTACTGTACCTACTGTTTATGCAGTATGCATACTGTGCAAAGAATGTACAGTTTCTGTAAACATGGAATAACATTTGCCAAAAATTGATGTATACAGTAGAGCACAGTGAGTGAAATATCAACCTGATCCAGCAAGGGCTTGGAAATCTGAAGAAAATGTAATTATTTAATGAAGTGGCCATTTCGTTTGAATTTGTTTTCGGAAATGTATGGTTTTTCTAAGCATGAATGTCCACTACCTAAATCTAACCATCAGTGGGGCGTAAGCAGATTGTATTTAAACATGTATGAGACTGTACAAATTAATATGAATTACTATTTTAGCCAAAATGTAAAATAGTTACGAAATGCCATGAAAGTATGTTTGAAATATTGTATCCCACAATGCATTGGTCTCAACTTGACTTTCCATTTCCAGAGAGATGAAAGAACCAGAAGTAATATCCAATTTTCAATAATTATCATATTTGAAAGGTTTATTGTTCAACAATAATAACTTTCTGATTCACATACTATTTAAAATATATGGCAGTATACAGTGTACACTGCACAGTAAGAAGTATGCTTCCATTCTTCCATTCTGAACACAGCCTGTGAGAGTTCAATCCCAGAATGCTCTGGCTGTGAGGTCTGAATCTGAGGATCAGAACTGTCAGAATGAACTCTCAATGAAGCATATGGTGGGCCAAGAATGTGTGTGTAACTTCAGTGAGCTCACACACACTTGCATTCCTGCATTATACATGTAAATATAATGAAATGCGACTCTGTGTTTGTAGAATAATGGATAGATTGTGTCACGTTTGTATGGTTTGTGCTCTGACAGGCCTCTGAACACAAATGGATTGTGCATTGGGGTCGAGGGAGACCCACAGATATGTGTTTAGGCGTGTAAACTGTAAGTATGGTCACATGCAATTTGCATTTCTTCTTGAATCAGGTGTTCATCTATGAACCCACTCCGGACTATGGGATGAATTTCAAAAACAAGATTGTGAAATCCTTCACTACTCTTCAAGTAGATATAATTACTTTTGTGTGTCATACATGAAACACAAAAGAGGATTTTTACATTTTCTGAAGAAAATGTGTGTGCTTGTGCAAAACTCAGTTATTGTGGGTGATTGCTAGGTTGCTACTGAATAGATTGCTTTTGACTTAAAGGCTCAAGTCAAAAGAATAAAATAATCTAGTCTTTACATATGGCTCAGCTTCCTTTTACAATGTCAGTCTATGCCCATTTTACCCTTTATCAACCACCAGATAAACATCAAGTATTATTGCTTAGAAAAGTAACAATGCAAAAAAAAAAGTGTCTTGAGGTATCGTTTATGTCCATAGCACTAAGAATGCAAGAAAGCCAAAGTTCAATACTTCAAGGGTTTGTTCAAAACTAGTTCTGCGTATTATCAATAGAGTTGCACAAATTGAAATTGCGAATTGAAAATATGGCTAATGGAAACGCTTCAATTTCGCAGAAACACCCATATATCGCAAAAAAAAAATGTTATGCTTGCATGAGGTGGTTTTTCAGCCAATTCAAAAAGCAAGATTTCGCAAAACTGCAATGGAAATGTTTTTGTTTTTTCGCATTTTCAGGTCACATGGCATACGAAAAAGTCATGATCATTCTTCAATGTACTATAACCTCCAAGAAACACTTCATACGTGGCCCCTCTCAAGTATAAGGGCTTTCCTTGCCATTAATGCTTAGACAATTTACACTGCACACATCTGCGGCAAGTTATGGCTTTGACACAGCCGTCGGAGCTGATCTAATCAATGCTTGTGTATACCAGCCACGCCACACGGCATGCTTCAGAAGCGGCTCTCCACGCTGCTTCTGTAAAGACACACGCATACGCCTCCTTCAATTAAATATAATGGCTAGCGCAGTGGCTGCGATATACGTAGGCCTAACCCTACCAAAATCCATGGGGAAAGGAAAAAATAACGTTGCATAACATCGGTTAATGGAAATGCAGTACTTTTTTTTTTTATCAACATTTATAAAATATCGCTAAAGTTTTGTGCAAATCTGTAATGGAAACACAGCTAGTGCCCATCCAAAAGTATTTTTCCCATTCATTTTCCTAATTAGTCTTATTGGCTTTAATGAGGGAAATGAAGCATTGCAAAGACATAATCAAATATGGAGAAATATAAAAATAGAAGAAAAAGAAGTTCATTATAAATAAATGCATACACATACATACGTGTGTGTGTGTGTGTGTGTGTAATTTGCAGTGCTTTAATTTAAGTGGGTGGGCGCTGGGGAACTCTTTTGCTGTGATTTGTTTGCAGCGATTGGTGGAGATTTCTTTGCTGAATCATTGATAATGTATTTTTTCACCATGAAATTCCATTGTGATACACAATTGTTTAAAAAACAAGCCTAAATAATGCAGACCAATGGTTTCAACAAAAACATATCATCGATTAACAACCTTGCAGCTCCAAGTAGGTCTATCTTGTAATCATTATAAATGAATGGGATTTGACTTCTGGAACCTGACTGTTGTACTCTGTAAGACTAGTGATGCTGACTTTAAACACAACTAGCATTGGTCAGTAAAACACTGCTGTATTTCAAGGGTTAATGTGCACATGCCTGTGTATTACAGATCCACAGATTAGAGTGTGATAGTCATCTGGCTAGATTTTGTATGGTTTCGCTAATCATGGACTTTGTTCAGTTGGGCATTAATAGGCACTTAGTGGCTCTGAAAAACAAAAGCAAACAGTTACTTGAAGTGTTATGTTTACCACCGACAGTCACCACCAGTTTATACAGTCTGAAATATAAGCCTCATTTAATAAGCAGATCTGATAAAAAAAAATAGCAGCCTGAAATGAACTCTGTGTAACATGAGTTTTGAGTTGGCACATCAAATATATGCTGTCATCATAAACTAGCATGAAAATCACCCAAGTTTGGCCTCACCCTCGAACCAATAATAAATCAACACGCATCACTCCCCCAACACACACCTGGTTTATGACATCATCAACACAAAAACACGCAGAAACCTGAGGACGTCAGGTTCCTGACGACGTTAGCTGAAATAAAAAATATGTTCAAATAATGTTTTGCTTTGTAATCTGAACATTCAAAACGAATGTTTTTGTTCTAATGTTAGCCAAAATTCTTTGAACGTTCTCTGTTAGCTGCAAGGCAGTATTTCTGGTTGAACTACAGTGTTCATGTAAACTGAACTGTTGTCCAACTGTCTGACATTGATGAACTCCTGCTGTTTGTCCAAACAGCATGTGTTTATGACATCTGAAGAGCGATGTGTTATGACTCTATTGTCTGCGTGGTGCTGTTGGTAATTGTGGGAGTGAATTGGGCAAGAGGTGGAGATGATTTCTCCATGATTTGTCTCTGCCAGCGTTAGAGCCGCATTGTTCAGAGTGACCTCCTCCACGGCACTTCCTTCCTC